GAACCTCTTCTTGTACAGGTGTAAGACGGCGATTTTTGGAGATAGCACCGCGTTGTGGAGGAATACCACGGGCGCGACGCGTAACCGTCTTTCTGGGCACATCGTATAGTTTCTCAACGCCTCGGAAGGATGTAATTTGGCCGGTCTTGTAGGCTTGAACGCCTAGAATAACTCTGCCTTCTTGAAAGATGGCTTCTTGTTGTTGTGGTGCTGCCATTGGGGTGGTTGTTGGACGACGCGTCGCGTGTTGAGTTGGGTGGGCCACTAGCTTGTGCGGGCCACTAACTTGTGGATTACGTTATGCTAGAAAGTAATATTGCTTAGAAAGCCTCTGGTTATATAACGTGTTCTACATGCATGTGGTGGTTACAAGCGAGTGGTGGCGCTTAATTTTTGGTGCGATTTGGACGTTTTGACACCCCAGCAATCTCAACAACCATAAAGTATTAAATAAGATTATATGAATGCATATAGTATTTAGCTCATTTCAATGGCTAGGCAATAGTTTGGAGTGATGTGTCTCTGTAATTCTATTATATCGTAGATCTTACCCAATGCTAGGGGGCCAAAACTCTACTATAACTAAATGTGGCCATCAAGAGACCCTAAAAATTTGTCTTATAATATTGAAACAGCTATGCATATCTTTATTCTAAGTTATAGATTCAAATCTTTTATAGTTGTTGAGGTTGCTGGGGTGTCAAAACGTCCAAATCGCACCAAAAATTAAGCGCCACCACTCGCTTGTAACCACCACATGCATGTAGAACACGTTATCTTAGAAATTCTAGCTTTAAAATTAGCGCTGCTAAGAATAACTCTACTAAGAAATTAACTTAAGGGCTTAGACCTATATTAATTCTCGTCTCTTCCTGTTATTAATAGGCTTGTTCTTATATAAATTTATGTGACAATTAGCTGCGCTTGCAGGGAGAGTGCCGACCCGCTCTGGCTAAAAGGGGGAGGTATAAAGCTTTCAATTGAACGGCCGTGAGGCCTGTAGCTACCATACAAGACGAATATGCTGAGTAGCAAGAGGGTGTGCGCGCTCGCGTGTAGAAACGCGTTCGCTCTCCCCTAAGCTAGGCTGTATCGGGCCGCACGCTCGAAGAGGTCCAGAGGCTCCGAGCTTCCAGGTTCAGCCCCTAACACTGGCCACCCACTTGTTTTTCAGTGGTGGTGCACTAGTAACTAATACAGTACTATAAGTCGTAGAATAGGGTAAGTCTAGGAAGGGCCTTAACCAGAATACAGGTGCTCAAAGCTTGTCCAGGTGTATAGATAAATGGTAAGAGCGCGCTAGAAAGACCGTGCACTGAGAATTTCTAAAGGGCAAAAAGCGGAAGCCGATTTTGCAAGCAACTGTAACTCCCACCGATTGCATTGCTAAGAAACTAGATGACTTTTAGGGTCGAACCCAACAGGCGCTAGTCCGCCAACACTACATTCGTTGGAAACTAAAAGACACGGTCTGACCAACTGGCCTACACCGGATTTGGTCGTCTATTAGAATAAAGCTCTACGAGTAGCCTAAGTTGAAACAGGCGGGCAACGATAATCGGTAATTGGGCGAAATAGTATCAAATCTTCCAGATACATGGTATACTACAAATAAGTACCTCGGAGGAGACACATTCACCATCGCCGTCATTATAAGGGGTTTTATGGCTTCTAATAGGGTCCTGGTCAAGTACCCTTCTCTAACTTGACGATCCAAAGAAGCTTAAAAGAATTTAAAGAAGTTGCTGGCGATTTAAGACTAGTAGACGACCTTCTTCTTCGCATAGAGGAATCAGAAAAGTGCAATGACCGTCTCCCAATAGTCGGAGCTTTTCCAAAAGTCGCGGCCTTATGTATCCCGGAGTTGATACCAGAGACCTGCGCCGTAGGATCGGTCATTACCGCCGATAAAGGAGGATCGACTACTCCGTAACACAATTCATCACCGATAGTGTTGAATTGGCGTCAGTCTGGGAGGATTTGGACGATAGCGAGCAAGTCCGTCTATTGGGATCAGCTATAGACGCAGTACGAAAGCTGCGAGGCCTCAAGCTTGGCGATGCGGATGTGAGAGACGCGCTGGCGGAGACGCCCTTTACTCAACACGCTCTAGTCGGCCCAGATATCGGGTTTTTTGGACGACATCCCCTCGTTTCTCGCCGGCATCATCAAACATGCTAACCCGAAAGTTGAGACCGCAAAGGTGGAAGCATCTCCATCCGGCGACGGAGTAATCTTAAAATCAGACTACCAGGATATCGGGGAAGCACCCCTCCCTCAAATCGCTCTCGATACCCTTCAAACTGATATCGTGCTCTGCCACAACGAATTCGAACCGCGGAATCTCCTTGTGTGAAAAAGCAGAGATACACAACACTACAAGCTGGTTGCGATTATCGACTGGGAGATGGCGGGCTTCTTCCCTTTCGTGTTTGAGTCTGTGCTTAAGGATCCGAACTTGCGCGCTTCGAACTGCCACTTTAGTTGGTACAGGCTTTTCATGGATCGAACGAGGGAGTTATTGTCGGCGGATGGTAGTAGCGATGCTCTGCTTCGTGCTTTGGATGTCATCCACACCTTCCGAAGGCGAAGAATGAAGAAAAATGTCGGGGAGACTCTGCAGGAAAGACGGATTGAGAAGCTCAAGCTGAGGCGTGGGCTAACGTTGCGGGATGGATGGTTGGTGCCGGAGGGAGTCGAGAGGGTGCTGGAGATGTCAAAGGACGAGATTGGCGCGATGGTGAATCAGATCCTGAAAGAGTTGGGGAAGATATAGATGGGAGATGTACGTAGGTAGGAGGACGAACTTTACTTATTTCGTACAGGGCATTGACCAATGATATTTTCTACTTTATTCGAGCATCCCTTTTCACCATTCTTGCTCGGTGAAAGCAGGTTGCAATAATGAAGCCATTGGAGTGGACGTCTCCTATTCATCCATTCCCCGTCGCGTAAGGTGCGAATCATCGTTATCCAGCAATAGTCGCGCTCTCTCGCTCTTCCCTTTAGCTTTATGAGATTATGCATGCTCCTGCTTGCCAGGCTATGGGTACCTCGACACACTTTCCGCAATCGCGCGGGAAAGGAAGAAGTTGTGCTGCCAAATCCGGAAACTTGCTGGGCCACCTCAGACTTTGGTGAAGAAGGTAGCCCTAAGGTCTTTGTAGTAGTGATGCGTGATGGTTCCAATCTGTTTGCAGCCATCCAATACTTTCTAAGGCTTTACTGACTGCGCAACCTGATGAACGTTTTTCGATTCTAGATCGAAGAAAGTGAATCGAGGGACTTCAGTCAGCAGCGACCAAACGTATAGAGGCTCATGACGAGGTATCACATGCTGTGAAATGCTTGCGATAAAGCGAAAGAAATGGGTTGGTACAGTGAAAGGTCATAAGCCTGTGCACACGCGTTTACAACTGCTTGGGGTACCCAATGGAATCCAAGAACCTAGGCGCGATGTCAAGTTTTGTAGTACAACTCAGACTACCTCTTAACTAATTGGCCGCTTCATAGCAGGGCCACTCCTCGCAGTGGTGTCGAGTGAGCAAGAGTGGAATCAGGCAGTGATAAGGTTCCGTGTGCCCAGACTTATGAGCTAGTACTGTAAATCCAGAAGTGTCGCTTCTGTATACTCTTGCTTGCCACCGTCAGGGGTACTTCAGGGCAACGGCGTGAGATAGGAGGAAGTCGGTTTGATCAACCAGGAAACTGGCTGGGGGGTCTCCGACAGTGGAGGAAGTCGTGGCCATGACAGCCCATCTCACTTCTTTCTCTTGAAGTACCTCCTCCTCCTCTCTCTCATCCCACTCATCGTGCACATCGTCATCCATCAATCCGCATTCACCAGCGTACACATCGTGCATTTCTACTACCTCTTTCGCTCTTCATTTACCCAGAAAGCTACACAGCACGCCGTTCACGTCAACATGGCCTTGAGAATCAGCCCGGGTTACATATGGTTCTGGTTTGTCTTTCATAATTCCCTCAGGTGTTGCGTTATATACGTCCAATACTGTTACCTCAAGGCCTTTGAGTGGCAGGAGTCCTCGGCATATTCACGCGTCAACTACTTCGGTCACTTGTTCAGCCTAATTCTCCCAATTCTCTGGTTGTGCTTTCTCCTCTATTGGACCAACTATGTCTCTCGGGCACGTGGCTTTAGTAGCCGCTTCTACGCTTGGGCAGCTGGCGCTCCATCACTTCTCAGTGCGATATCGCTTTGGAGCATCCCTGGCAACGATAGGTTTCAGAACGGGCTCGCTTTCTGGCTTGTTGCGCTGGATTTTTTCTTCGGCTTGCAGCATGTGATTGGGCCATTCTTTCACTAAATGCTCAGGCATCCCCACGCCCGCGGTACGTTCTCCAAGTCTTTTCTTGATAGAATCACGCTAACACCCTGAGGAGTCAGAAGTCGAAGAACGTGACCTGAGATAGCTATCCAATCAGCTGCGTGGCCCCTATCTCTTCGGATTGATCCACACGAGCAGTTCTATCCACGCCTTCGAGACGGATTCCCCACAACTCGCGAGAATGTCCCAGATCTTTTTCGGAACGTACACCACCACCCAGCCCAATCCCGTAATAATCCACCAAATTACTTCACCCACCACCCCAAAGATTGTTTTCATTACTTTGTATGACGCTTCTCCAAACCGCAACACCCATCCCCAAATCTTCCCTGGCAGCTCGACGAAGGTGGCATGGAGGAAGGAGCAGAACCCATTCCATATGTCTTTTAGCGTGATATTGCGGAAGAATGACATGACAGCGGAGAGGAGTGTATGGAGGAATGACGCCAGACGGCCCAGTATGGATCCAATACCATGAGCAATGCTTTTCACACCGTCCCAAAGCCAGAGTGCAGCGACCTTGAGTGCTTTTGGAATTCCTGTGATGATGCCCCACACCCACTTCGCAATAGCCTTGAAAATTCTCGGGATCTCTTTCGCGGCTTTCCAAAGCCTCGCTGGAACCTTCTTCATCCCCCCCCACACCTTCGCAGCTCCTCGCCCAATGCGCTTGGGCATCTCTTTTGCTCGGCGCTTGCACCAACCACCGAACTCTCCGCGATGCTTCCAGCACCACACCACCGAGTTCTTCAGCGGAAGGACGATCAAGTGCTTCGGGCAACTCCATATGAAGAATCGAGGAATATCGTACAGCACCACTTTGAAGAAATAGTATATCTTCTTGACAGCCTTTCTGGCACGATTCATCGCTTTCTCATGCTTCGCCTTCCACCGTCGCCATCCACCACCGCGACGGCCCGGCAGAAACTCAACAATATCGCGATGGCCGTTGTCGGACGCCAATCGTAGCGCGAGTTCGCCGTCCGGCGCGACCAGCGCGTCGTCGGCGTGATACACATCCACAAGGAGCTTAACGAGGTTGATGTTCCCCTTCTTAGCTGCTACCATGAGTGGCGTACGCTTGTGTCCTTTGATGGCAGCTCGAGGGTACGGATCTGGTTGGTCCCAAATCACTTCTTCGTAACCTTCAGAGGGTGTGGCTCCGAACGCATTAACATCGGCATCGAAGTCGAGAAGCTCTTGCACCATACGAATGTTTTCGACGCGTACAGCGGCAAGGAGGGGCGTTTCGCCCCGGATGGACGTCGTGTTGGCGGTCACGAGGTTGGATTCGATCATCATGGCGACGGCTTCGTCTTTTTTGCTAGTGATGGCGGAGAAGAAGGAGTTCACGATGTCGCGGCAGATATTGGACTGGTCGGCTTCATGGCCGTGTCGCATAGCGGTGGGATATGCAGTGATAGGGAGTTCGAGGGCGCCTGTGGAAGCGGACTGGATGATGGATTGGATGCCATGAGGGTCGGTTGTGGAGTAGTCTGGGAGGCCGTTGTTCAAGGCCAGTATATGTGGGTTTGAAGCCTCGATTCTGTCGGGATCATTTGGTGAAGAGTTTTCCGGAGTAGGACTTCTTGGGCTGGCTGTATCTGGAGGTATAGAAGGAGACGCGTGATCAGTCTCCACCGGGCGGTACTCGTTCTCAGGATTGCTCATCTCTTTCGAAGTTTCTTTCAGTGACGATAGAAGATTTTTTGTAGAATATTAGGCCTACCTAAGGCCAGCTGGCGATGACTTTATGTATTGATGCTGCTGTGCTGTGCTTTATGGTGATGCCTGGAGTTGAGCCTTGGAACGCCACGTCGAGCTCAGCCCCTCGCTAAGGACAGCCACATTGAGGTTGGGATCATCCTTCCTCGGCATGCCGTATTCTGCTGGCCTTGCGAGGATTTGTTATGACTTCTTGCTTGCGATTGTATCATTTCCGATGATGGAGGGGTTGGAAACAAAGGTTGCTTGATGGATAATGTGGTAGTGGAGACACTGGAGTGGACATCCCGCAGCGTAGTTTTAATCACGCTTTGCATCTTTAAGAATGGTGGTATTTCAGACTCCTCTCCACCTTCCCCCACTCCATCACTTGCTTATCATTCTCTCTTCATTTCAAGTAACATTTCTGTTCTTATTTCAGTTCATTCCTTACGGATTTAGTATCTTGCTCGTATGATAAGTATATGATTCTTTTCGCACTGATTTCAGAGAATCTAGATTTACGTGACCGAAAATGTCACTATTTCCATCATATCCAATTCCCTACGATGCTCCTTTTGAGCGTGGGGTTGCTCTAGTTACGGGCGCGGCAGGTACAGGTACGCATTCGATAGCGACACAATGAATCAGCCTGGCTATAACTCTCGAGTAGGAATTGGAGCAGCAGTAGCAAGAGCATTCCTTGAAGCTGGCTGCCAACGCCTCGTCATCACCGACATCAACCGTGAGACTCTCGCAAAGACGCAAGACTCCCTAGAGGAGCGATATCGTCGACCAGGTCTTACGATTCTGGCTATTGACGGAGATATCTCGTCTAAAGCCTTCGCCGAAGAGCTGGTGGAAAAGGCGATTGAGCAATTCGGAAGACTGGATTACTGCGTCAATAGTGCGGGAATCATGGGTAATAACAAGTCTTCAACCGAAACTTCCATTGACGCCTTCGATAAGATCAACGGCGTCAACTACCGTGGCTGCTGGCTCTCATCACGTGCTGAGCTCAAGGCGATGCTGAAACAGGAGCCACTTACTAGCCATGATCCCGCGAGACCAGCCCAAAGAGGCAGCATTGTCAACATAGCGAGCCAGTTAGGTATCGTAGGACGTCCGGAATGTGGTTCGTACATCTTTATACCGAAATATACATAATCACTAATTCAATTTCGATCTAGCGGCCTATTCTGCTAGCAAGGCAGCCGTCATCGCGCTTACAAGAGCGGACGCAATCGATTATTCCAAAGATGGCATCCGGATCAACTGTATTTGCCCCGGTATCATCGACACGCCCATGACTACGTTCACCGAAGAACGCCGAGAGCTACTGAAGCCGTCGATTGACATCGCACCTATGAAACGGATGGGACTACCCCAAGAAATCGCAGACTGTGCAATATTTCTTTGCAGCACAAAAGCGAGCTTTGTTCAAGGCGCGGCGATGGTTGTGGATGGTGGTTATGTGATCAACTGAGGTGGACTCCCGCATTTGCGACAGCGCTTTTTGGTTCAGCCTTTCGATAAATTACATCTGCAAGGCTAGTATTATTCTATTGAAGATACCAAACTACAAACTTCTCTTCCAACCGCCTTCCGCCTCAAAGATCTTCCCAACTTCCTTGCACACCCTCAACAGGTGTTGATCTCGGTACCTCGGGGCTATCACTGATAATCCGATAGGCATTCCATTCGCGCCCTTGAAGCCGGGTATGTTGACGACAGGTTGGTGCAAAGCCTGAAGAATGATTAGTCTGATTTCCCTAAAGAAAGGCAAGGTATACTGACCGTCCATATCCCGCAGAAAGTCGCGTTCCCGGTATTGTTGCCCACCGGCGCCTCATCCAGCGCACTGGGAGCAATAATTGCAGCATACTTCTCCAAGATCGCATCCATCTTTGGCCGCAACGCCGCGAGTCCATCGAAAGCCTTGAGCTGCTCTTTCCTCGAATACTTTTCACTGTTTTCTACGTGACCTACCAAAGACTCGTGGAGTTTATCCTTCGCATAGTAGTAATCAGGCAAGAAAGCGATCCGGCCATCTCCGCTGAGAACTTGCAGGTGCCATGCCGTCAAGTCATCGAACTCGTCCGGCAGTACAAGTTCCTCTACTTCAGCGCCGTGGGATGTGAGTAGCTGCACGCCTAGATCTAACGCGTCTTTCGTCCCTTTCCCCGCCTCTGGCCAGTTCGGTGTCTTGAGCTTCAGTACGGCAAATTTGGCTCCTTTCACTGAGAAGTGCTCCCCTGGCTCGTCGTCTTGTAGCTGAAATACGTTGATGAGTAGTCGAAGGTCTTCCACGCTACGAGAGTACAGCCCAAGCGTATCGAAGATCAGCGAGTACAGCTTCTGGCCCTCTCGCGATATGCTGTTCCATGTTGGCTTCAGGGCGTAGATGCCATTGAAAGAACCTGGGCGGATCGTGCTACCGATCGTCTGCGTGCCCAATCCGATCGGGACCTGCAGATCTCCAACAGCAGCACCAGATCCTGAAGAAGAGCCACCCGGGGTGCGGGTAGTATCGTGGGGATTACGCGCTGCGGGCCCGACGCTTGTGGCAGCGAATTCGGTAGTGTGGGTCTTTCCTAATTAAGAACGTGGCGTCAGTAATGGGCATCATAGATATAAGAAGGTTTCTTTACCATATATGAGAGCTCCGTTTTTCCGCAGAACTATGACTGAGCCGGCATCTAGCTGGGGGTGGTCGTCCTTGTAGATGGGTGAGTTGTACTGCGTCGGCATATCTAGGATGGAGTTTAGCAGGGAGTCCAATGCTTCAAAATCGAATCCGTCTCGCACCTTTCGTGAGTATAACATCTTTCACGCCAATAGCTACACCATGAAGGGGTCCGCGTTCCGCTGGTGGGATTGCGTCAAGCTTTCTTGCTTCCTGAAGGACCAGTTCGGGGTTCAAATACGCCCATGCGTGGACGGTAGAGTCCCTGCTTTCGTAGCGAGATAGAAGTGATTGAGCATATTTCTCTACAGTCAAGCGACCAGACTTGATTTCAGCGACTGCTTCGGTTGCTGTCAAGCTGTAGGGCTCGGTGGTGGGGGACATGATGATGTCGAGTGCTGGAAAGACGTGGAAGAACGTAGATTGTCTGAGGGTGTTAGGCTTTGATTGATTATGTACTAAAGTTCTCCAAATCTTGTGCTCCTTCAAAATTTGTTCAGGAATGTAGAGAAGAGAATGAAGCTTGAAATTGTTTGGTGTAGGTAGCTTGGAGCTTCACCACCCCACTATGGACTATGACTCCTAATCGATAGCAAGCACGCAAGGTGCTAGGACTGCCTTCGGGTCTTCCGAAACATGCCCAGGACACCACGCGACTCATCACCACTCTGTCGGAGTGAAGTATCAAAAAAGACAGATAATCGGGAGCTGGTCCGCTTCAAACTGGCCTCTGCCCTCCATCGACGGTAAGTTACTGGCAGCACCGAAACTATTGTGCTGTCGAGCTCGCGTTGGTGCGAGGCGTCGGCTGAAAGTTCCCGATGGCTCATGGCGCCAACATACGCCAATCCCTTTGACGTTTGACGCCGGTTTAAGTCTCCTAGCAACGTAGGAGTCTCGGATGACGTGTGGGGAAGATGCGGGAGAGCCGGGAATAACTGCAGGCAAAGAAATTTTCGCATCAGCAAGGATTGAGATCCGAAGCATCGCTTTCTTACTGAGATTCTTGCCTGCTATCGAGCCATACTTCCAGTTTTATTGCTTTTCTTCTCGAAGTCCGTCTTTTCAGATTACGTATCAAGGCTTCATGGCACTGCGCGATGTCGACTCCATCTCTCAAACGGCCAGGGACGACGAGAAAGTCGACCTCGAAAAGGCCATTGGCGACTGGATCTCAGATGGAGAAAAGGAATCAAACCCGGCAACTGTCTCTATTGACGCCGAGTCTGACGACGATGCACGCAGCATACATAGCATAGGCAACCAAACCAACGTCCTGTCCAGCAAACGGCTTCTCGTGGCATTTCCTACACTTTCAATCGCCCTATTCGTGTCTTTCATTGACCAGACAAGCGTGTCAACCTCCATACCAGCCATATCCGCGGACCTCAACACCGGAACTGCGACATCATGGATTGGCGGGTCTTTTCTGATCTCCTCGACCGCATTCCAGCTCATTAACGGACGCTTGAGTGATATATTCGGCCGCAAGAACTGTTTACTGATATGCCTAGCTTTATTGGGAATCGGCGATTTGCTATGTGGATTCGCAAAAAGCAAAGAAGTTCTCTTCGCATTTCGAGCAATTGCTGGGATCGGAGCTGGAGGTGTGAATAGTGTGGCGATGATCATCGTCAGCGATATTACAACGCTCGAAAATCGAGGAAAGTTTCAGGGTGAGTTAAATCGCTCAATATCAAGAGTACTCAGTATTAAATTGCTTGTGCAGGTATACTTGGAGCCATCATAGCTCTTGCTAACGGGACTGGTCCATTCATTGGCGGCGCGCTGGTGGAGAAAACAACATGGAGATGGGTCTTTTGGATTGTTCCAATGCTTGCAATCCCCGCCGCTCTAGTTATCTTTTTCTTCCTTCCGCTGAGACATGACTCTGGTCACTATGCCGCAAAAGTCAAGAAAATCGATTTTGGAGGGGTGGTGTTGAATTTGGCGTCCGTGTTATTGATACTTGTCGGTCTATCCCTTAATTACGACATTGCATACACTTACTTTAAGAAGATCCCCCTTTCTGGAGCTGGGGCGACATATGCATGGGACTCCGCATTTGTGATTGCTATGCTCACTGTGGGCTTATGTCTCGCGATAGGATTCGTTCTTTATGAGTGGAAGATAGCTCCTATACCAATCATGCCTGGTGAGCCATTTCTTGCAGTTGGAGGCTTACTATGCTGACCCAGACAAGTGCACTTGGTTCGTTATCCACATTGCCCGATGCTTTATCTTCAGAATTTCTTCACTGGCATTTGTTTCTTCGGCAACTTCTTCTATCGTAGGTTTTGCGTAGCTCAACCGGTCGTTCAGTTCACTGACTAGATGTAGTACCGTACGTTGAGCCTACTTATGGAATCCCTACTGTCACTGATCAGCTGCAAGTATCTACTTCCAATCAGTATTAGCATTTTCTCCCTTAGAATCTGGCGCTCTAATGCTACCCCTTATCATTCTTACCTCTATCACTTCCATTCTCTCAGGCCAATTCATGTCCCGTAAAGGCCGTTACATGCCAGTCGTCGTCATCGGCTTTGCAATTTGGACGATTGGCACTGGGCTTAAATGTGCATTCTCTCGATCTACCAAGCTATGGAATATCATCATCGTCCTTCTTATTGAGGGATGTGGCATCGGGTGCACGCTACAGCCGAGTGAGTATCTCTCGTGTGCATGCATGCGTTGCTAACAACATCCAGCTCTTGTCGCGATCCTTGCAAATTCACGAGCTGAAGACCGTGCCGTCTCAACCGGTCTCCGAAACTTTCTCCGAACAGTCGGCGGTGCGTTCGGGTTAATTGGTAGCTATCTCTTTGCTCTGTATGATTTGTCAAAGCACAGCAAGCTTATTTGTTCCAGTGTCCGGTGCAATTCTCTCGAATACCCTCCGCACGCGTCTATCCAGTCTCCCATTTATGTCAAGCAGACAGCTTGAGAGCCTCACATCGTCAACATACGGACTCAAGGAGCTGAATCTAACGATAGAGGAGACCAACTTGGTGTTGGGTGCGTATATGGACGGGCTGAAGTATATCTTTATCATGTATTGCGCCAGCGCGGGTGCTAATTTCCTGATGTGTGCGGGGATTGGAAATACGGATCTAAAAACGAAGCCCAAACCCGTCGACACTCCGACTGAGCATGAAAGCGGAAACTCCGAGGAGCTGGATGATAGCCCTATGAATCATGGCAGTGCGACTGTCGAGAAAGAGACCGCACAGGTGAACTTGAATGATGAGAAGAGCATAAAGCACGAGGCAACCTGAGGAGATATTTAAAATCGCGGCATTTCCAGAGCATTTCCTCTCATGAGGCATGCAAAAATGGCTGAGCATTTAAAGTGCGATATGCATTTACGGAGTTGCATAGATTTAGTACATACACATGGTGCATGAGAATGACTTCACGATAAGAGGAATTTGACCGCCTCACGGCTGGAGCTATATATGCATCCCAAATTCATCTGTGGCTGCTTCACGTACTCGGGCCCCGTCGGGTGTTTCAACAAATCTTATGACATCGAATGATAAATCACGTGATTAGCACGTGCTCCACTTCTCACCACCTTTCAACTCCACAGTCCCTCCTAGCCGGACCGAGTTTGACACAATAAAATATGCTAGAATATCTATCTAGAGAGAGTCTCGGCGTTATCTGCACCTGCAGGACCGAACTGCCGGCCGCCCATCGGGTCAGAAGACGCCCTCCCGACGACGTGCATGCCGCTAAAGCACCATCACGCCAAAAGTTCCAGGGTTCCATGCAGGAACGGCATGATAGAGCCGATAAGAAAATAAAGCTATGTGGAGGGGTAGGTTGAGAGGGGCAGCTTGTAAGTATCCGTGCTCAAATTATTCTCATGCAAGCTTCAAGCTTCAAGCTTCCAAAAAAACGTTGCTACACTACTGCTTAGAGGATCTATTTGTTGAGATCCAACTAAACTCTCTATCTACTCGTGTTGTTGTCTACATAGATGATTGTTCAAAGAAGTAGCAATCATTGATCATGCCCCCCGTTTACTCCTGCAACCCCCTCTACGACTACCCCCGCGACTTCAGCGGCTACGGCGAAGCTGGCCTCGACCCTAAATGGCCCAACAAAGCCAAAATCGCCGTCTCGTTCGTTATCAACTACGAAGAAGGCGGTGAGCGCTCAGTGATGTCCGGCGACGGCATGGCGGAGCAGAATCTGCGCGAGAATCCGGCAGGGCCACCACGAATCAACGAGCGCAATCTCAATGTCGAGAGCGAGTATGAGTATGGCTCGCGCGCGGGGTTCTGGAGGATGTTTAGGATGTTCAATGAGTACGGGATGAAGTTCACGTTATATGCGGTTGCGCAGGCGGTGGAGAAGCAGCCGGAGGTTGCGAGGAGGTGTGTGGAGATGGGGCATGATGTGGCGTCGCAGTGAGTAGTGTCATGATATTGACACCAGTAGTCGGAAGATTTGGGAACATAGCTGATGTATGTGATGATTGTAGTGCCTATCGTTGGATCGAGTACCACGACTTCAGCATCGAGAAGGAGAAGGAATACATCAGGAAGGGCATCGAGTCGCTCAAAGCCCTCACAGGCTACGCACCCCGTGGATGGTACTATGGTTGCAACTCCCCACACTCGCGCACTCTCGTGCCCGAAGTCTACGAAGAACTCGGCGAAGAGCTGGTCTGGGCTTCTGATACCTACGCGGACGATGTGCCCTACTGGATTGACCTTCCGACCGAAGCCTCGAAGTCTGACGAGGAAGCAAAGGGGTGTCTGATGGTTCCGTACAGTTATGATTGCAATGACTTCAAGTTTCATGTCATAGGCTCTGGATTTGCGGATCCGGATGGTTTCTTCGCGCATCTCAAAAACGCGTTCGATGTGCTATACGAAGAGGGCGAAAAGGGGATGCCCAAGAGGATGACAGTGGGGCTTCACTGTAGGATAGCTGGCAGGCCGGGGAGGTTCGGCGCACTAAAGCAATTCGTTGACTATCTCAACAAAAAAGGAGTGTGGGTTGCCACAAGGACGGAAATTGCTGAGGCATTCAAGAAAGAGTATCCGTATAAGAGGGGGAAGTTAGCGTAAGCGGTAGCCTACCGTAATTGAAAAGAGATGGTCGAGAAGTTGATATTCGTTTCCATCTTTTCTTTCCATATGCCTTTAAGCATGATTCACTCGTAAACTCCAAGAAAGCCATGATCCCATCCATTGCCATTAGGGAACGCGGAAGAGTCCATTTGCATGAATCCTGTCATGCTATCGGCGTCATAGAGGCCGTTTGAACCGTCCCAATCGGCATTCTCCTCAGTGATCGTTTCGCCTAGCGCCGAAAATACATCGCCGTTGGCAGATGGGGTTTCTTGCGGAATTGCTGTAGTTGGGGCATGTGACTGAATCATTTCGTTGAACATCTTCCAGCCTCTAGCTTTCAGTTAGCAATTATATAATGGAACTTGGGGTAGTGCAGATCTTACTGCCAACCGCCTGGTACCTCTTCATCGACTTCCATAAACACCTCTTTGACTGCACCCAGTATAGGATTGGGAGCCACGGGAGCATTTGTAGCGCTAGAATGCCCTTGAGGAGCCTCTTCAATCGATTCCAGTATGACCTTTGGTTGCCGGACATCCGAGTTGTGCTGACCCGGATTCATAACAACGCGCAGGACACTGCCGGACAACGCTTCGAAGATGTCTCCGTATTTGGTTGATCCGGTCCATTTCTCTCCGAATAGCGTCAATGTTTGGCTGCATGCTCGGGTAGCATCAAGAACATCATAGGAAAAAAGCGACCGATCTCTCCATAGACAGTAGATCAATGTTAGTCCTGCTATGAAGCAGGAGTGAAGAGCGATGACTGTGAAAGACAAGATTCTTTGCTGATGAAGTCGCCTGTACGCAAGGCAGATTTGGGCCGAGGAGTTACCACAAGAGATGAAGCGTGGATCCGTAGAAGGTATTACTGGGAGCAAAGAGGTATATAAGGAGAGCACGGTCTTGTGATACTGCAATGTGAAGTATTCACTAGAATCGTGGTAACTTTTGTCTGGCATGTACATCCATGCCGGTTCCTGGGCGTCTTTAGGAGGAAACGGTATTGCCTTCACCCACTCATCCAGCTCTGCGTGTATATTTGCCATCTTGGCGTCTAGACGAGCTCGATCATTTGGAGCTGGAGTCACGTCTACTCGAAAGACTATTCGATGAATCTTGGACTGAATTTGACGAAGTCTAATGATGTGATTGAAGGGCATTATGTTGCTCCAGGACGTCGGGCCTTCCGGGGGGCTTTGCGCAGCTGAGAGATCCCAAAATTCTTGTGCAACGCTTGGTAGCTTTCTCAGGGGTCAACGAGACGTCGATATGTGTGAAGAGTAGAGAAATCACTCACATCAGCATTGATATCCCTATCTGCTATTGCAAAGGTTCTTCCCAAAAGTAAGCTGGTGAGTCGATCGAGACCGTAGCAGGACCAGAAGGTGCGTTTGCGTATCTCTAGGTCGCGTGAGTTTTTGACCGGTGTGCTTGCACTTGGCTTTCTGTGTAGGCCTAACTCAATGCATAGAGTTATGGCATATCGAACTTGGGACCAGACGCCAGCGCCATACGGGCTTCTTTGCCCGAACACGGCAAGTAGGGTAAGGAATTGGACGGTCGACACGTTGTGTTGGTCTAGTATATATTCCATCGGCTCTACCGCTGCGCCGAAGTGAACCTGGACGGTGTCAGTAGCATATTAGTAACGAGAACGGCGGACATACCTCGGGGTCTATTTCACAGGCCATCTTGGTTAGCTGCATATACCTAGCGGATATTGCGTAAATAAGGTGCATAATACTCCGCTCCACTATAGGTATTGCTCCTTTCTCATACTGTCTCTTGAAGAAAGAAGTGTACAGCGCTCTATCTAGGGTTGGCCATCGACTGTGCAAGCGGTCGAAGAAGACACGAAAGAGAGGCTCCGCTTCATCTGGAGGGGGGAACTCAAGAGCAGAATCAATTGGAAAGGCTGAGCTTATAGAAGAGATAGAAGTGTTTCGAGCTACTTTGCCTTGTTTTGGGGTGGCTCCATCGGCATGTCTCTTCGTACGGAATATCGAAGACTGTATCATGCGTGCGATGGATGCTCCGGAACTGGAACCGAAGTAGAACGGATCATTGGCAGAGTCATCAGCAGTGCCTGAAGCACATAAGGAAAGATAAGCAACACCATCTACCAGGGATGCGTCTTCTTCTGAAAGCGAATCATCCCCGGTATGGGAGAGACGACGATCCGCGTCGAAGTGCGTCTCCTTGGACGGGAGGCTGCTACTCAAGTGGTCTTCTCCATACTCAGGCAGTCGAGCCTCAAGGAAAGCAATCCGCTCCTCGAGGGCATTGATATAGCTGCACCTAAATCAACAAGGAGGTCACACGGGTGACGAAAGATGAGGTATTACAGCATTTTCCCCCCTGGGTAGCGCGGTCGAATAGCTTGCTCGTAGACGCAAGTCACGCTCACCTTGCGGCATGACTTGCACGTGGGTCGCTGGCCATCACACTGGCAACGTCAGAAACAATTCAATTCCGATGACTTTCATCTCACTTTCTGCTTCCTTCCCTTACAGCGCTGACATGCCAGTGCTACCCTAGCCCTCCGAGTCCCTGGAGGCGGGATGCTCGCTCCCGAGGTGGCGGGTTGCATGCCGTCGTTCGATTCGATAAGTTGTCAAAGCCCTTCGGAACGGGTGAGCGCACTTGTAGCCGGGAAGACTCCACATGCACGTGGGTGCTATGGATCTCGGATGGTGTTGTAGTAAGACTTCTAGTCGGGGCAGAGCGAACCGACGCGGTAGGTGCTTTCTTAAGTGCAATTATAGTGGTACCGCACCATGGAAGTGCAGAGTCAACTCGCGTCGAGAAATTAAGCGCAGACTTTGGTGATAATGGACAAGTAAAAGAAGCCGCGATAAGATACGAGTCATGTAGAAGCTCCGCGGAGCTACTCTATATTTGGGCCTTGGCGGTATCAGTCATACTAGCATAGAGTATTATAGGTTTAGCGGCGGAAGTCGTGCAGCCGTTATCGTCGCAGTCTCAACTCACTACCAAGAGTCTCTCGTTATATCGCCGTGCTACGAAGGTTGCTTGGTTGCGTCGATTTTACCTACCATTAGAGCTCGGTTCTTGCTCTCGAGCTACTGAGAAACATTAATAAATTAGCATTATGACTAACGTATTCCACCACCGAGCCGGCCAAACCACCGAGCCGGCCACTTTTCCTTGGCACAACCAACACCATGTGCGCGCAGTCAATTTATTCGCAACCAGCTATAGAACTTGTGTACGACACACTTAGATCAGATTCAGAAGAAGCTTCTTGATCCTTTTTGCACGTACGCGCATTGTGCCCAGCCTCTCCACAGTTTCCACAGCGCCGTTGAGCTGGTAGAGCCCTATTTGCACCATCTCTACTACCCACCTTTTTCCGTGGATTAGATGCTCCAGACACTTCAGCAGCTACGTACAACGCTGCTGTACCATACTCCATTGTACCGCCAGTCTGGATTCGCTTTCTTTTACGACCTTTACGCTTGGTTATCTCTGCTAGTTGCTCTTCAAGCTCTTTAACCCGGGCTTTGATAAGCACATTTTCGTGTAGCATCTCTTCGGCTCCTTTAATAAGCTTTGAGAAGCCTTTTTGGGCGGTTGTTGGTGACCGTACGAAGGAATTGCTTACTAGCCTTGACTGTGATCCAAATTCGTACGTATTGCTTAGGGTCTTTGATTGCCATGGTGTTTCTAGTAGGGGTGCTGGTGGTGGGGTCTGTAACCGTACATCAAGGCGATCAAGAACTACCTGCGCGTTGATAGGAACTAATCCAGAGGCCTCAAAGGCCTTCTTGCAGTTCTTGTACATAAACACGTCGAAAAACGCGTCTTTAAAGGCTGGTAGGAAGCCTTCTTTATTAATATGGTAGACGCGTCGGCGTGCTAAGTCTCGTATGCGTTAAGAGTACTTTAGCTTTAATGGCGAGAAGCACACCATATTAAGTGGCTGAAGTATATGCGATGAATGCGCAGGCATACAGAGGGTAAGGATTTGTTGTTCAACGCAATAATCCTTAAAATCTTAGTTAAGGTGGCTCTCATGGCCGTCCAAAATCAGCAACCTGTATAACCCCACCTGACGCGCCTTTGTATACGTGTTAAAGTGCTTTAACCACTTAAGACCAAGCTTGTTATTGGTCCAGCCGTTCTTAGAGACAGAGAGCTTCTAATTGTACGGTATCTCTGCTTCCTTATACCATGCAGAGATATGAACGCGTCCTTTGTAGATAATAAATGGTAGGGTTGCATATCCGGCAGCGCAGATGCTCTGGATAACCGTAACCCACTCTCGGTTGCCTGGTTAAATAAGATTGGGCCTCGTACGTTTCTCTGAACCTGTAACAACCTTCATTGTGCCAATTATACCCATTTAAAAGCCAGTCTTGTCGAAGTTATGGATGTCATCTGGGTGGACGCCATACTTGGCTATAGTCTCTTGCACGAGAGTAAACCACGTGTTGATAACCTCTGGGTCTTCCTGGAGTATCCTCTGGCGGTCCTTTGCCCGATTAAAAGCCATTTTAAGCTCCTTTGTACGAGATATAAACCGTTGAGTCCAGTTCTTGCCCACTGGTGTCCCACCATGCGCAGCCAGTACTTTATCTGCTATATCTGCCACCTCACACAACCGGGGCGCAAATCCTCGCGAGTCTAGGTCAAGGATATATCGTATAATCGTGTGCTCTTCGGTCGCAGTGAGCTTTAGGCAGTTTGGTCGTGATTGAGGTCGAAACGTGATTCCGTGGAGCCGATCAGAGAGCCGCTGATGTCGTACGTTGAAGGCTGCTGCAGCGCGTCGTATGGTCCTAAATTGACCAGAGGTAAAGGCTTGAAGCGCGAGATCAATACTGCCTTCTTGCTGAGATAGATAATCGCTGCGTTGTTGATGCATTGCTGTGTGAATGTGGTGTTGGTTGTGCCAAGGAAAAGTGGCCGGCTCGGTGGTTTGGCCGGCTCGGTGGTGGAATACGTTATCTTCAAAGGCGTCTCTCCAGGGCTCTTGTAATTACTGTACATATATAGGTATGTGATGCGCGCATGAAACATCTGCTGGAGCTGCGTATTCCTTGAAGATGAAGAAGGCACGTTTCTAATCGAAGGATACATTTCTACTCCCTACATGCTCCTGAAGCCCTCGAAAATGTGGAGCGGCATCAGACTCTGTTGCTCTCTGATAATCGTTCTGAGTCTTATTGTAGCTTTCTACACAATTACGAAGTGAAGAAAAACATACACTTACCTAGTATTAACTATCTGAGATTCTTCAATGACCTTTAAAAGCCATAGACAAACCCTGAAGCTACTCTTCGAAGAGCTCGGTGAGTTCACATAGCCACCACAGGCGGTATACTAAAAAAAAACGTCGACGGACGCAATGGCGAACGATTATGCACAAATATCCGTGTGGAATAGTATGGTTCTATACTTTGAATGTAAAGATGTTCGAGGTAACTCCCCCTTAGGTTTAGGCGGCCCTTCTCTTCCGGCTTAGCGTGTTTTTCTGCCCTTATATAATCAGTCTTTGAACCTCCTCTATAAAAACACATATCCTACTTCTCACTCCACTTTCTCGTCTCACTCTTCCTCCGCTTGTGTGGTAGGCTTAGCTATTCCATAGAAGTTTTACGCGTTGTTATAGCACTGTCGCGTCGCAATCGAAATCTGATGGAATTTGGCGCGGGATTAAGATTCTCCGTGCACGTGACTCCCATACTTTCTGGGCCATGAGGCGTGGCGAACTAATACGAGGTATTGGCGAGCTGAGCCCTGGTCTTTCCAATTTGACGCTTTACCGGATGTGTAAGGTTGGCTGACAACACCAGTAATCGAATCCGCCTCTTGCTATCTAGGTACAAGCGCATCAGAGGGCGCCCTTGGACCTGATATCATCTCCCTCCACCCCCTCTATCGTTGCCTGCTCGAGCACGGGTGCCCAAAATATATGGCCCGTGCTCGTCTTCGACGCGCTAGCGTTATGGAAGCCCAGTCTGGCTCCTTCCGGACTCTGGCGCTCACCTTCCGATGGCGATTCCAGTGCGCCAGCGTCGGCTTGTCTTGACAGGCATCCGGACCTTTCAGAGTCAGCTGTTGCCGGAGAGCAGGAACGCATCCAAAGGTGACGTGAGCCCGTTATTCGGACATCAGGAGTACCGCGCGCAAAGATTTTCTCGCTGTTGGGCTCCACCACATCTTTTATCAAAGGATTATGCGACGACCATCCCATATACTCCAGTGTTTATAGATCACATGGATATAGGCTCTGAAGAACGTGCGATGGTGATTAGAGAGCGTTTAACCACACTGTCAAGATTGCCTCTGCTAATGTTACAGTCCTGCGCACGTCGAGGACAACTTCCTTCTTAGGGCTGTCCATCTTCATGACCATGAGCATAACGAAGCGGTCATTTCCTTTTAGATCCTTCGTTCTGATGTGTCATTGGAGTCTTGATTTGTCGGAACGCCTTGTCTTCATCGTGTGCTCGGCGATCCTCACGTTCAGCCTACCACCGTACCTGCTAGCTGACCCAACGTAGAGGTAGCGGTCACTGACCATCTGAAACTCGTAGCGAGATTTTACAAGCCGCGCGAGGATTCCTCCAGCCCTTTGAGGTCCTCCTGAGTGGTTCAAGTGGACAGGCTTGGCACCAGCGCTCCATCAAGCCCATCGAGCGCCGGAACGGTGAGATACTCCGTACCTGGGCGGCAGGAACCAGATCCTGAACCCACAGCCCCACCTACCAACCCAGGCTCAATATAACGCGCCCTTCCTTAACACCTCTTACCTACGCTTCTGTCGCAGCACGGAGGCTAATTGATCGAAGGCAGCTCATTCAAAAGAGAGCGGACAAATTCATCAGAAGCGCTTCTGTCAATTTGAACTGGAACCTTCGTAATGGTACGTAGTGAGGAGCCCAAACGGGCTCCATTTTCCTTTTTAAAACTGGCACAATTATCCGCAATTTCGTAATGGTATACGGTGAGGAGCCCAAACGGGCTCTCATGCATTTCTCGTAATAGTCTATATGCACCTTCGTAATAGTACAAACTATAGAGTGGTACGCAGCAATTTCGTAATAGTATTGTTGAATATCACGGCAGCTGGTGGCTGAAACAACGTGACAGGGGATAGGAATGGGTACATATATAAGGCACCCCGCCCATCTATAGATATACAGATCAATTAATACTATCACTTGTTCAACAGGTTATAAGCCCGGACTTGCACACAGCAACGCTTGAAAAACATTACTCACAGCTAAGCTTCCGCACCAAGTGATACTCCTTTTGACTCAAGAATCTGATCATAGTTCAGTAACTCTGCGAAAAGACGCCGAAATAAAGAGCCTGGAGTTTCTGAAAAGAATAAAGCGGATAAACCTCCTTCCGCCACTATCACAGACATCAGACTGTTATAAACATGAAACTGCCACAGACATAAAACTGCCACAGACATAAAACTGCCGCAGATATAAAACTGTTACAGATACCACATTGTTGCAGATGTCACGCTGTCACAGACATCACACTGTCACAGCTCAACTTAATTACAACGTTATCCTACATAAGATCCGGCTGGAAAAATATCGACTCCTAGATCTGGTCTCACTCAGTTGCCAGCTTCGAGAGGACTGACGTTAGCTCCACGACAAATCCGCCACTCCTGGACAAACGACGAGCTCAATCTCCTTACATGCTGTCGCTCCCACCACTAGATGTTCGGTCGGATACAGAAAATACACTTTCTAAACCTGACAAAGAAGTCACTTATTTAAGCCTATGCGCGCCTACCTGTTGAAGAACGCGCATACTGTGCATTAATTGCCGCTATACTAGTCGTTGCACCTCACAGTGCTTATTAAAGCGAAAACGCCACACGCCCTAAACTGGGACCAGGCCGCTGTCTCTATTCTGCGCCTTAACCTGAAGACAACGCCGAAACTTCCGAGTCTTCTACCTTAAGGCACGAGGGAGACAACAGATCCGTAGGAACCCCCGACGGGACTACAAGTCGGTATAACCTTCGGCCAAACAGACGGAAAAGCTTCCGGAGAATTAAGCCGCGATACCTAGTGGACCGCCTCTACTTCCCTTACTTCTCTAAGTTGTATAAGAATTACTTGGACTTGCGCGGAGCGCAAGATAGTAACTACGTTCCTCTATCCCACTCACCTACGCCAGATTTATCGGACTGTAGCCCCTCTGTTGTCTTAAGCCAGCTTAGTAAAGCATTAAGCCTAGAGCTTTTCGGTCTAGAGGCGCGCTCTTATAGCCTACTAGATTATAGTCTCTCTACTATAGTAAGCCAGACTAGTAAAACATTAGGCGTAGAATTCTTCAGCTCTAAGGAGCGTCTACCTACACTATAACCGATATTATAAAATTTAAGCAATTTAGCTTAAACGCATTCTATAATACTATTCCAACTTTTAATAATACTAATAACTAGTTTAAGTAGAATTAAAAGGTTAATAAGTTTATTTAAATATCTGCCGTTGCTAATAATAGAGCAGCTCCTTTAGTAGAAAAGGAGGAAGCTTAATAATAGACCTATCGCTAAAAGTTTTACTTAGCAATAATTACAGGAAAGTTAACGCATAATACAGCGCAACGGATTAACGCCTCTAATATCTCTTAGGTCTAATTACTTCTTAAGGCGGTTAAGGATAGCTTTAAACCGGAAGGTTCTAGAACCTATATTAACCTCTAGCAATAATACATGTCCTTTACCCGAGAAAAGTGCAGAAGCGCTTAAGCTCTCGGTGCTAAGATTAGGAGGATTCACGCGGAGAAGGTCCTACTTAAACCTAACTATATTAGCTTAGAAATCGAGCAAACATTTTTCTTTATACACGCACTTAGCGCTAAATACAACAGCTTCCGCAATTATATATTTAGATAAATAGACCTTATTAACAAAAAAAACGTAGATAGAAAGATTATAAAAGCGGCACCTATGTTTAACTATATTAAAAATAAGGCTATTAAGGAAGAATATAGGAAGGGGCAACTAGGCAAGCAGCTAACAGAGGTATAAGCTCTCGCCCTAGTCCGAGGTTCCGGCAATAAAAAGGTTACACTATTACTAAACGGAAGCTTATATTAAATTAAGATTAACAATATTCCCTACTGCTTATTCTGCTGTAAACCCTATTATATAGACTCTAAATGCTTTAGTAAGAACCCTAAATTAAAGGATTAGAGGCAGTATAGAAAGGAATATAAAATAAGGCTAGGTAAAGTATAGAAGAGGGGACCTGCTACTAATAATAAGGATAATAATATAGGTGGTCTAAAGGATCTAAAAAAGCCCACCTTTATATTAATAAAGGCCTTAAAAAGGGATATAAATAAAACATTTAGTAAGGACGTTAAAGGCAACCTTACTATATTTAACTATACTTTTATAATAATAACTATAAAGACTCTCCTAATCCGCAAAGCTTAGATTATTAATAGTAGATATACTTAGCACGTCTGTAATAACGCTTTAAGGTTTATCTAGATAGATAAGTATTATAGACCGCTACTTAGAAGCGTTAATACCTTAACGTCCCCCTTAGGAGTAGGAACGGCAAATATCCTGTGCAAGGTACAAGGCAGAAAGAAATAGCTTATTCTTAACAACGTCCTCTTTATCCTATCCGCGCACGCAAACTTTATATCCGTGCTTTAGCTGCTTAAATAAGGGGTAAAGGTTAAGTTCTTAAGCTAGGGTGCCAGTATTCGCAATAAATTAAACGGAAAGAACCTGTACACTGCAGGCTAGTATTAGGAAGTCTACGCGCTTAATCTATAGACCTATTTCTCCTTTCCAGCTTATTATATTAGTCCGTAAATAACACTCTAGTATAACCGGCTAGCTTATATAAGCGATGTAAATCTACAGCAGCTTAAGAAGTAAGCCTATAGTATTCGAGACGTAGAACTATAATAACTATACAACCTATATCTCTAGGGTTAAATAACTAAAAAACCTTATAACCGCTTAAATCGAAGCTATAGAAGAGAATATCTAA